TTAGGAACTAGTTGCTGACATGTCAAGGCACTGAGGAGCCATGGAGGTGGGGCTACAGTCTTCATAAAGTAGGTGTCATGGAATATGAACAAGTTATTGAAGTGGGGTGAGCCTATGAGGTGGGGAAGGGCTTATTCTAGCATGAATAAAGAGCACACATCTTCAGACTTCTCATTGGAATGCACTCTGCTCATTGGACTTCTTTCATTTGATAGCAAAACAGAGTGAAAATGAAGGTCCTGAGAGCAGAGGGGCCAAAGAATCCCTCAGGTCTCCCTTTATCTGAGCTGAGGCCAGGGAGGGGAGCACATCATTCACTCACTGTTATCTGTTGCCACACAACATCGGGGGACAGGGTCGGATCACTGCTATAGACATATGGTAAGTAGCTGGACCACTGCTCCTCAAGCTTGATCCAGGTGGGGATCGTGGAGGTGAAAGGGAAGAGCAGGGGAGNAGCTGAGGCCAGGGAGGGGAGCACATCATTCACTCACTGTTATCTGTTGCCACACAACATCAGGGGACAGGGTCGGATCACTGCTATAGACATATGGTAAGTAGCTGGACCACTACTCCTCAAGCTTGATCCAGGTGGGGATCCTGGCGGTGAAAGGGAAGAGCAGGGGAAGGGAAGGAACACATGCCAATCCTAGAACAATGGTTGACTTTTCTTCAGTCTGCTCATTCTTCTGAATGACCTGCCATTGACCTATCATTTCTGAGAGTTGTGGGACTAGGCAGGTCCATGATGAGGGCCCAAGTGGTAACTCCTTCTTAAGTAGATAGAATGAGTCAGGATGCTTGTAACAGGCAAAAATAACCCATCCCTCCTTCTCATCTGGCTCAGGCTCACAGGAAGGCTATGTAGTCTATCTCAAAATGGAATACTCCTTGAGTATGGGAATGATCAGGGCTGGGAGTGGGGTGCAATTCCATACAAGGGGAGTGCCTTGGAACACATTCCTGTCCACTTTGTAGACAGAGTTAACCCATAGAGTGTGGGTTCCACCAGGACTGTCTCCACATGGCATGGGTTTTTAATTTCCCTATTAGGAAGCCCCAGGTGCCAACTCTCTCATTAATTCTAGGGGCCCTTGGCCTTATGAACCATTTTACCTCCAAGTAGAAAATATAAAAAGCCATCTGTCTTCCAAAGCAAGGCTAAGAGGTGCAGGAGAAGAGCGGGGAAAGTAGCTATAACCGTGACCAGATTCAAGGGGCAAGCACAGGGCCCTAGAAGAGAGTGGGGAACCTAGCTGTGGCCTTTTGACTGAGTCCAACTGTTACAGAACAAATCCCTTTATTAAGGGGATTTGTTCTGTGAAGTTTGGAGTCAGTTAAAGGCCACAGGTTCCCCATCCTTCTCAGAGGAATCCTCCCTTCCCCTTTCTCCACCAACTGTGCCCTCTGGGGAGTGCTCAGCCTGACATTTCCATAATTTATGTGAGGGAGATCTCATTGTCTGCTCCTGTCTCTGCCTCATCTTTCAGGGCCCTCTGGAGTACCACTCTGAGGGGCTCCCTCCTTCTCTTCTGTCTGAAGCTACCTAGGAAGAAGTAAATAAGGGGGTTTGTGCTGCTATTCACACAGGATAGAAGCTGAAAGACAAAAAAGATACACCTTGTATCTATCAGCCAATACAAGAGAAACCAGTCAATTCCAAAAGGAAGGCCACAGAGCAAGAACATAAGGATTGTGAACATGATGAGAAGGTAGAGTTTGGAGGGTCCCCTGTTCTGGGCATGGCACTGGAACTTAAGAACTAGAGTCAAGCTGGACACACACAGCAGGCAAACCAGAAAGACGATCAATGTCACAAAAGAGAAGTCCCATGCCAGACATGACATTACCCTGTAGGGAATAAGATGAAGTAAACCACAGGCTTCACCTTCTAGTAGATTCCCCAGAAGGTAGAGTGTCCAGAGAAGGGAGCACACGGTGGCAGACATGTGCTTGGGGCGGTGGCATCGGTACCAGATGGGGAAGAGCACAGATAGACAGCGCTCAGTGCTGATCGCAGCCAGCAGGTTCAGGCCCAAGGTGTAAAAGAAAATTGTGAGAGTGACAATAAATCTTGGTACTATGTCCCAAAAGTCCTGACAAATAAGCATGATGGAGCGCACAATCTGACAACACAGGTAGAAGAAGTCAGCCCCGGCTAGGTTAAGGATGTAGACAGAGAAAGGGTTCCTCTTGATGCAGAAGCCCAGGAGCCAGAGTACCAGTGCATTTGCCACCAGCCCACAAAAGCTGATGGTCAACATGATGGAGTTAACTGTAACAACAAATGCCCTATTTTCACAATTACCCAAACTAGTGAAGAGAGATTCACTAATATTTGTCTCAGTCCCACTTCCATTAAATGAGCCTTGGGGCATTTCAGTGGAAGTCTGCATCATGGTGGTTGGGTCCATGCTGGAGAAACTTCCCCTGGGCACTGCTGACTCTGACATGCCTGCGGATAAAACAACATAGGAATGGTGTACCAGGAATGCTGGAGGGGTCAAGATTATCCCCATTTCATTCCCCACCCTCAAGTCCCAAAGAACTGAATGAAACGTAACAGAGAGCATTTAGAGATGTGATCCAAGGGATGGGGAAGAAATGCATGTCCAGTGGGAAGACTTTGTCAGTCCAATCCCCTTCATTACTCTACTCTTGGACCAAGCTTCACAAATATGCTTCCTGTCACATGGCCTGATCAAAGAAAGAAGGCAGACTAAGGCAACCCTTAGTCATCAGGGACTGAAACTGCCTCTTAGGGAGCTTCTGAAGAGGGTTCACAGGTAGAGAGACCCAGGATCAGGACCAAGAATTTCCCCCAGAGGAGGGGCCTCACCCACCAAGGAGGGTGGGCTTGTGAATACCTGCATATTGTCATGAATGTGATAATCTATTCAATTTTTCCCATAATTGTTTCAGTCTCATTTAACAAGGTATGTGACACAATACTGAACCTTAGTTCACAGGGTGGGGAAAGGTGAGCCAGGATTGGGACAAAGACGCTCAAAGTAATCATTTCAAATTCAATACAGCCCTCCCCCAGGAGAGTGAGTGAATAAGAAGCAAAGAAGTCCTTTCTGTCAGAGTGAAGGGTTCTGTCCACACAAAATTAGTTGGACTAGATTTTTCATTTTCATTAAATTTCTCTGGTGCCATGCAAATATAGACAAAGTGAAGATGAGGCAGGGGGAAAGATAGAGATTCAGAATGTCAGGAGAACATTTCCTTAGCCATGCATTGGAAAA